CCAGCAACTTTGTTTTCGTTTAAGTAGCTTGCAGTCTTTTAGTCCAAAGCAATGTGGCTCTCAGAACAAGCCCAGCGAGGACAAGTCTTTCAATAAGGCATCAAAACAGTTGATGCGATTCAGCATTTAAAGGCTTTCCAGCCTGTCAGATTCCTGGCCCCCATCAACACCTGCTGCGCGCTCGAGTTTCAGACGGTTTAGAAAACCATGTTAAAAATGAGAATAATACAATTAAATTTTCATTTCATTTCTTTTCCAGACCCACCATCCCCAAGCACCTCTTAGAGACACACTAGCTAAATGCCAGAGAATGGGATCATGTTAAAATTTCCAGTGTTAAGTACAATGTTTTAGTCCCCAACCCCTTCGGACCTAAACACATGCCCCACCTTCACCTCCCAATCCAAACCTTACAGGTTAAAAATTCACCACAAATTGAGGAAAAGGATGGGTGCACTAAAGACAGAAAGGAACAGTTCAAACAAAAAAAAAATTGTAATATTTAAAACTTGGAACAATTCACAGCCTATAAACAGTAAATCTCCACATCTACATTTCCTTACCATGAAAGATTTCCTCAGAAACAGTGACCATAACATGGTAGAATTTACCATTCAGTTTGGGAGGCGAGGGACTTGGGTTAGACAGTGCTAAGCTTAAGTAAGGGTAATTACAAAAGGAGTGAAGGCAGAGCTGACTGGAGTGGTCTGGAAAAGGAGTCCAGCAGCAAATACGGTTGAGGAAAAATAACAGACTTTAAGAAAGCAGTTCATGGCTTACAGCAAAGACATATTCCAGTGAGGAAAGAAGTTTCTAGGATGGCATAAGCCATCCATATTAAACCAAAAAAGTTAAGGATAGAATCAGATGGAAGGGGAAAATAAATACAATGTAGCAAAGATTAGTGGTAAGCCAGGAGGATTAGGAAAGTTTTAAAAACAAAACAAAAAAAAGATAACAAATAAAAAGGAGAAAAATAAACTTTCAGGGTAAATTTTCAAGTAATATCAAGAAAGACAGCAAGAGGTTATTTAAATTTATAAATAGGAAGACAGAAGCCAAAGTGAACACAAGTTACACAGCAAATGAGGTAGGAAAACATTAATTAGGAACTAGGAAATGGCAAAGGAGTTGCATAAATACATTGCATCAGTCTTCACAGCAGAAGACATTAACAGCATTCTAAAAGTACTAAAGATCAAAGGGGCAAAAGGAGAATAAGAAATAAATATAATTACTGCTAGAAAAAAAAAGGTGCTGGGGAAAATAAAAACTGATCCAACCCCCAGACCCGATGGAATTGTAGAACTTCATGAAGGGGAAATAACACGTGACAAATTTACTAGAAATTCTTGAGGAGGTAACAAGCTGGATAGACAAAGGGGAAGCAGTGGATGTAAATGTGTTTGGATTTTCAGAAGGCATTTGAAAAGGTACCACACATAAGGCTACTTAAGACGGTCCAGGGTGTTGGAGGAAATGTATTACCATAGTTAGAGGACTGGCTAACTAACAGAAGACACAGAGTTGGGGGTTGGGGGTGGGAGGGGGACGTTTTCAGGATACCAACTATTACTAGTGGTGTGCCACTGTGATCATTGCTAGGACCTAACTATTTACAATATAATGACTTGGATGAGAAATGCATCATAGCCAAGTTTGTGGTGACACAAAAATAGGTAGGAAGGCAATTGGTGAAGGTATTAGAGTCTGCAGAGGCATACAAACAGGTTAAGTGACTGGGCAAAAACTTGACAGATGAGATATAATGTGGGGAAATGGAGGAGCTGAATATTATTTAAATGCAGAAAGACTGCAGAAAGTTATGGATTTCAGAATCCTCATCCACGAATAGCATCCAAGTTCAGCAGCTACTAGAAAAGGCAGGCGGAATGTCGGCCTTTACTTCAAAGGGAATGAAATATAAAGCTAGGGAGTTTTTCCTAGAAGTATACAAGGCACCAGTCAGAACACAGTTGGAATAATGTGAAGTTTTGGGTTCTTATCTAAGGAAAGATATACTGGCTTTGAAGTCCAAAATACATTCCCTGGCTGATACCAGGATGGAAGGAGTGTCTTATGAGGAGAGTTTGAGTAGATTGAGCCTGTAATCATTAGAGGTTAAAATAATGAGAGGCAACTTATTAAAGCATACAAGATTCCCAGGGGAAACGATGGAAGATGCTCCAAGATTGTTTCCCTGTGGAAGAGTCTCGAACCAGAATCTCAGAATAAGGGGTTGCACATTTAAGTCAGAGACAAGGAGGAATTTCTTCTCTCAGAGGGCGGTGAAACATTGGAATTCTTTACTGCAGAGGGCTGTTATGGCTCGATCATGAAGTGCATTTAAGCCAGAGATAGACAGATTTTCAAGGTAAAGGAATTTACGAGAAAAAAAAAGGCAGAAAAGGGGAGTTTAGGATTATCGGATCTGTCACGGTCATTGTGAATGGCGGAGCAGACTTAACTGGCTAAATGGCCTACTTCTGTTCCTATGTCTTATGCTCTTTTTTTTAAAACCTTCTGGGCAAAGAGGTTGAGTGGCAGTACTTAACAATTATCACGTTGCTCAAATGGTGCTTGGATTGCTAACTGAGAATTAACTTACTGTAGAGTGTTTAAGGGGCAATAAATATACAAGTACAAAAACTTTGCACAACCATAAGGCTTGGTGAGACAATACTTGTGAAGTTAATAAAGGGGAAATGCAAATTAGAAAGCAATATGGTTATTAGCAACTAATACATGATTTCTGTCATTGCAAGCTGTTGGCTGATTTTCAAAGTATTTATCACACGCAGCATTCAGACACCATTACTTGCTCAGTAAAAAAACAAATTGAGACTATGAAATTTTAATTAATTCCAGCATCAACCTATACAAGATTGATATAACTCAGCAGATACAATATTACAGAGTCTCAATGACAAACATACAAGGATTCCTTGCAGTTCCAAATGAGGGAGAGAATAAAAGCTAATCTAAATTAATTTGATTAGACAAGATGTCTGAAAACTGAATCTTCTTTCCTACAGGAAGCAGGAGGTGGGAAAGAACAAAAATGTTATGATAGCGAAAAGTAATAAGCTTAGTATAAAGTCTGTCAGTATGAATTCCAGTTAAGTATCCAGTCTTACCTTAATGCAAATTTCTGTGTCAGGATTGCACTGAAGAATATCCCTTACTATGGTTGCATTTCCTTTCTCCACAGCCCAATATAGAGCAGTCTTATTATCCTAAAAGGAATGAGAAAAGTTACAGTATTAGGTAAATATCTAATTTCACTTAAATTTTAATTTTGCCAAAAGGGCAAGAAAATTTGATCTTCCCTGGGAGTAAACAACATGACACAATCTTAAACTTCAGTCTTGATTCAAGGGTGTTAGTTCTGCTCTGAGTGACAAGGCTGTGCGTTGAGGCCTTATTCCAGAGATTGGACAGATAACCAGGGCTGATGCTGCAGTACAGTGCAAGAAACTATTTAGCATAGATATATGATTTTGGAATATATGATTTTGGATGAGGTGAATAAACAAAGGACTGACCTGGTGGTTGCAAAAATTTTGTTGCTTTTTATTTTGAAAGATTAGCAGGCAAGTTCTCCTGACTAAGGAAAGCATGTATTCTTCAATCTCTAACATTAAGCACAGGTTATCTAGTCACTTCTCTTTGAAATTTGTAATATATTGTTATATACAAACTGGCTGCTACATTTCCCATCATCACAAGAGTGACCACCTTTCATAGCACTGTATAAGCTATTAATCACTTTCTGATATCCAAAGTTAGTGAAAGGTTATACAAGTCTAGATTTTCTCCTCCTTTCTAAAACAATTCTTCGCACCAACCGATTTTGTTGAGTGTTCTACTCAGTTTCCTCGTCAAAAAACACCCTGCAACATTTTAAACTGCCAAAGTGTCCTACATATGACAATTGTGTTCACCATGCTATATGGACAGGCACTAAAAATTAATAAATTAATTCAAGTTGATATCTCATCTCCATTCCAGAGATACCAGGGTGGCTGAGGAAGTTTTTGATCATTGCAATCTGCATTATGCATGATTTTCTATTTTGTGAATAACTTTTATTTTTTAAAAAAAATCAAATAATTATTAACATTTGAAATTAAGCAACTCTTCGTATCTCTTCTACTGGTTTATGTTTAGACTTACTGTTCCCTTTATATCTATGTCCGCATATTTTTGCAGTAAAGCCCTCACAATCTCCACATGTCCACCTTTCACAGCACCAATTAGGACAGTGTCTCCACTCTAAAAAGAAAATGCACATTCAGTATGGTAAAAATTTGCTCAACAACCATAACACCACAACAACGGAAAATTAAAAGACAAGACTTAATATTCTCAGTTAGCTGGACAGCTGGTTGACGACACAGTGACACCAACAGCATGTGTTCAATTCTTGTACCGGCTGAGGTTACCCCAAAGATCCCACTTTCTCAATCTTTCTCCTCATCCAAGGTGTGTTGTCCCATGGGTTAACCACCACCAGAGGTTGCTGTCTAGTGAGAGGGCAGCCTTATGGTCCTTAGGAACCGTGACCAATTTAATTTGTGTGTTCGCACTATATTAAGGCCAAAATAAGGAAATTTTAAACCTACTTTTGAACACACTTTTACAAACAGGTATCCAAGTAATTAATTTACTTAAAAGTAAAAGTCCTGCTTTGATCTGAAAGATATTACCAGACTGGACAAACTCAGGTAATCTCATAGCATCTGCAGAGATAGAAACATAGGTAACATTTTTGAGGAAGATATGACTTTCTTCAGTACACGACTTCCAAAGTTCCAAAGAATTCCTATCACTCGAAACGTTAACTTTGCTTCTCTCTCCGCAAGCACTGCTAGGCCTGTTGAGTTCCTCCAGCACTTTGTTTTCATTTAATTCATTTAAAAAAGCAATAATTAGATACATAAATACTCAAAAACATATTGTAAAGTTAGAACCTAACCTCAACAATACTATCATGATGAGGTGCTTCCCTACAAAAAGCCAATAAAGAGCTAACTCAATCCCGATGGTTAAAGATTTCTTTGTAGCAAGCTGTGAATAAGTATGAGCAAATGCCCTGCCAGCCTGACTGGAAAGGATAGTGTGGCAGAGAAAAAAATATGAATAAAGATTCGAATCATGTCAAAATTACATTAAAATTACAAAATCCGTTTGCAGGTGATTTCACTAACATTACAAGCTTTTATCCGTGAAAGCTGAAATTGGCATTAACCTTAAAAAAAATCTCTCAACCGTAATATGAAAGAAATCAAGAAATACAAACCCTGTCAGGGATGTTGACATAAGTGCCAGCGTCCAACAGATCCTGAACAATTTCAATGTGTCCTTCCTTGGCAGCAATCATCAAGGCTGTATTCCCATCTTTGTCAGTCAGATTAACATTTGGATTGTACTTTAACAACTCCTTCACTCCTTCAGTGTAGCCACCTTTGACTGCCACTATTAAAGCTGTCATAGAGTTCTACAAAATGATGTGGAAAAATTAGTGTTTTAAATAAAAATTTTTCTAAAATAGACGAGTGTCATTTTTGCCTTTTGCAAAGTCAGAAAGACTAATGAGACATTGCTGAAAAAACATATTTTGTCCAAGTGTTTTGCTTTGCACTCGTCAGGACAATTCATACGAATACCAATCAACAGCATTATATTGGCGTGCTTGCAAATTGTTCTGATAAAGGGAGAGGTGAAAAGCTTCAACAAAGTGTGCTTTTTTTTCAGCAATACTCATGCTATGCACTACCAAACAACGAAATAAATGTGGAGATATGCTACTGCCTGCTGCAGAGGACACAGAAATAAAGACCAAGAGTAGTTTGTGGATGAAATCAGGGTAGGAAGATGAGACACAACTGAACCAGACAGGGTGTGCAAAATAAAAACATAAAAACACTTGACAACATTCTTTCGATGAGGTTTTAAAATACTGATCACAACCCTGCAGGGCAGAAGATCCTCAAAATCTCTGCCGAGAACTCATGCAACTTCCCTCAAATTTCTTTCTTGGCTCTTCTCCCAATACCAAACAGTTTCTTCCTAAACATAGCTACCCCTCAGGGGTGATTATAAACTTAGTTGGGAGATTGGAGCAGACAAAACAAACTCAATTTCAAACCCGACTGGACAGGCAGCCTATACAGGGTAAGAAACAGTGCAAGGAAATGGGTTGAGTGCCAGGTTTGTGAGAAAGGCATTGTTGCAATAAATCATAAATAATGGTAGAAACAAACACTGAGGAATCAACCAACTAGATTGGAGTTAGTACGGGGGTGTGTGTGTGTGTGCACGCATACTCTGTAGAGAATGTATGTATAATCAGACTGGGCAAATTATGTAAAAGTCGTTGGAGGACAAGTCACATAATATATTTAGGAGTGTATCCTGGAACAATATTTTTTAGGTAGAGGTTATTTTAGAGATCGGTTTCGTATAATGATAAAGGGTTAAATTGCAACTGCATTGTCAGCAATCCCCAAAGGAGAATCGATCATGTGATGAATTTTGCACCAAATCTCACAAGAACTTGTCGATTGAAGTTCGGAGTATAAGACTGAATATTAGGTATAGTTCGTCCCTTTACCTTTATTCATTCATGAGATGAGGGTATCGCTATTAGGCAGCATTTATTGCCCATCCCGAATTGTCCAGAGGGCAGTTGACAGTCAACCACACTGTTGTGCATCTGGAGTCACATGTAAGCTAGACCAGGTAAAGATGGCAGTTTCCTTCTCTGAAGGACATTAGTGAATCAATTGGTAGAGGCAAAGGGGCATTAAAAGAGTTAATAATAGATAAGCAATGACAAACTTTTTTTTTAAAAAATCACGATTTGTGATTATATAGTCCATTAAGAAATAAAAATGGTTAACTAAATAGATTGAAAGTAGAACAAGATAAAAAGAAGTGACTCATAAAGCTTGATATCCTTCTTGATAGTGTTAAGATTAGAAGAGTTTTAGAAACCAGCCAAGGATGACCAAACAATTTAGAGGGGAAACTTGAATGAGGAAGTAGCAAGAAATTGCAAGAGAAATTCCATACATAAGGAGAGTAGCTAAAGTAAACATGGGCCTCTTAGGAGTTTGAGACAAAAGAAATTACAATGGGGAATAAAGGAACAGCGGAGGCATTAAACAAGTTGAAGTGAAGAAAATGCCAGAAAAAAAAGGGGAAAGCAGTATACTGTGAATGAGGAAGTAATTTCTTCTTCTGAAGGAAAAGATACTGGAGAAATGAATGAGACCAAATGCCAACAAACTGTATGACCTGAAGGCCTACATCTTCAAGTTCCAAAACAGGAACTAGCATCAAGAGTGGATGCACTGTTTATGACTGTCCAAAATTCTGGACAATTTCCAGCGGATTTGAAAAGGAACAAGTATAACACAGCTATTCAAAAAAAGCACAGGAAAGAAAAAGGCAGAAAAACAGAAGATTTTTTGAACTGTTAAACTTATTAAAACATTGGTAAAGGTATTTGTTTGCCCATGCACATAAAACACAAAGTTAGCAAGTAAGTACCACGTGCATCAGCAGAGCAAAAAAGTTTATTACAAGAGAATGGGTCTATACTCTCTGGAGTTTAGAGAAAATCAGAGATGCTTTCAGAATTAAAAATTTGAAAGATTATTGGAGATAGGTGGAAATGTCAAGTAATCAGATTAGCAAGGAACTTATTGAATGTCAGAGTAGGGTCAAGAGCCTGAGAGGCCAGCTCCTTCTCCGAATTCATATGCTCATAATCGTTCACATGATTTTATTGAAACAGAAAATTCTGAGTGAGTGTGGCACGATAAATGCCAAGAGGCTGTTTTCCTTGGGCGAAGTGTCCAGACCAAGAAGACATAAACACAGAAGATGGCTTAGTTATTTGGGACTAAGCTAAGGGAACTCTCTCTGCTCAGAACTTGGAAATTCTTCTGAAAATCTCTTTGCAGATAGCTGTGGATGGTCAGACACCAAACATGTTCAAGACTGCAATTAACAGATTTTTGGACACCAAACAAGATTAAACAACATGGAGGAAAATTAGCAGGAAAATGGGGTTGAACACAAGAACTAGGAGCAAGAGCAGAAGTAGGCAATTCAGCAGCTCAAGCCTGCTCAATTTGGTACAAACATTGTTGATCTCATCCTGGTCCCAATTTCACATTCCTGCCCTCTCTCCATAATCCTTCAACCCATTGCTAATTAAACATCTGCCCCCCTTCTTCTTAAATTTACTTAATGTCATGGCACCCACCACACTCTGGGGTAGTGAATTTCACAGATTCCTAAACCTTTGAGACAAGTAATTTCTCCTCAGCTCTGTTTTAAAATCTGCTGTTCCTTATCCTTAAACTGCAACTTCTCATTCTAGATCACCCCTCATGAGAAAAAGTGTCCTTTCTACGTCTACTTTGTCAATCCCTTTCAGAGTCTTGTATACCTCAATTAGATCTCTTCTCATTCTTTTAAACTTCCGCCTAAACTGCTCAATCTTCTGGAGAACCTCCTTTGAACTGCCTCCAATACGACTACATCCTTCCTCAAGTAAGGGATCAAAATTGCACGCAGTACTCTAGGTGAGATCTACCAGTACTTTGTACAGTTCCAGCAACACTTCCCTACTTTTACAGTATATAGCAAGAAATGTAAAAATTCCATTTGCTTTCCTTATTACTTGCTCTATTCATGACAATGAAGGATGGAACAAGGTCACATAGCCTTCTCCTTATGATGAAAGGGATTGATTTGTGATCAAATCCAAAGCCAATTTGAAATGAAGAGGCAATTGGACTGCAGATCAAGATGTCTCTGGTTAAGATACAGGATTGGCTGGCTAACAGTACATCTCTGCAGGAGTTCCCCAGGATTGTGTCCTAAACACAACCATCTTCAGCTACTTCATCAATGACTTTCCCTCCAACACGAAGTCAGAAGTGGTGATGTTTGCTGGTAATTGCACAATGTTCAGCCCTATTCCCAAATCCTCAGATACTGAAACAGTTCATGTTCAAATGCAACAAGATCTGAACAACATCCAGACTTGGACTAACAAGTGCAAGTAAACATTCACACCACACAAATGTCGAGCAATGACCATCTCCAATAAGAGACAATCTCACCACCACCTTGATACTCATTGGTGTTACCATCACTGAATTCCCCACTATCAACATTCTGGGGTTACGACTGGTCAGAAACTCAATGGGACTTGCCATATAACTACAATGGCAACAAGAGCAGGCAAGAGACTAGGAATACTGAGGCGTGTAATTAACCTCCTCACTCTACCATCTACAAGGCACAAGTCAGGAATGTGATGCAACATTCCCTACTTACCTGGATGGGTGTGTATCTCCAACAACACTCAAGAAGCTTGACACCATCCAGGACACAGCAGTCCTCTTGACTGGCACCATATCCGCAAGCATCTACTCGCTCCACCACTGACACTCAGTATCAGCAGTGTGTGTGCTCCACAATATGACACTGCAGAAATTCACCAAACAGCCTAAGACAGCACCTTTCAAAACTATGACTACTTCCATCCAGAATGGTAAGGAGAGTGGATAAATGAGAACACCACCACATTCAAGTTCCCCTCCAAGCCACTCACATCCTGACTTGAAAATATATCACTGTTCCTTCACCATTACTGGGTCGAATTCTTGGAATTTACTCTCCAAGGGCATTAAGTCTCTGGAACTCTCTTCCCTGGAAATGGAGGAGGTTGGGTCATTGAGTACTTTTAAGAGCGAGGTAGATGGATTTTTAAATAACAAAGGAGTCAATTCAAAGGTTATTGGCGAGATAAGTGGGAATGTGGTGTTCAGGCCACAATCAGATCAACCATGATCTTACCTTGAATGGTGGAGCAGACTAGGGGAGCCAAATGGCCATTCCTGTTCCTAGTTAACATATTCATATGGAGAGTGGAAAATGTGGTTATCATTTATGTTCTGATATGTAATATTAAAAAAATTTTAAAAAAGAATCAAGAAACAGATTAGAGTTACGTAAGAAGCTAACAGAGGCAGTGAGGGACTGACTTATATTTCAATTTGAGAAAGAGAGAGAAGTCTGAAGGCAGAAAGATCCCTAAAAGGGAAAATTATTACATTAGAATTTTAAAATTAAGCTGAGAGAAGTGGTGGTTCATGCCAGATCCACAACATAATACTTATTATAAGGAAGATTTCAACTACCTGTTCAGTTATTTATATAGGATCGTAAAGCAATACTTGAAATGCAGGCTCTCACTACATGCTAACCAACTTCCTTACCTCATGCAAAGCCAAAGAACAACATAATCAGCCTTTCATGTTCCTACATGCACGATGATAATACTCAGCTTTATCTCATCATTACCTCGCTCAGCCCTCCATCATTTCAAAATTATCAAGCTCTTCATTACATCCTGTAATGGATGTGCTGAAACTTCCACCAATTAAACATATAAAGGATGGCAAATTTACTTCC